AAAGCGGACTAATACATGTATATATTTATATATCCAAAGCCTATTTTTGAGCTATATACAGTCTTATGACTTATCTCTTCAGCATTTCCAGGCCTTAATATTCTCCTGGTCAATGTGATACAAGGTCTGATTAAATACAGACCCATCAGATTTGGGCTTTGAGGTGTAACGTGCTCTCTTGATCACCTTGACATTCCTCACTTCACTCACATGAGCTGTGCTTTCAGAGACAACAGTAAAAATCCTTCTCTCAGCTCAAACAGAAGTGATAGAAGTGCGTGATAAAGGAATTACTTCCTGACCATAGCAAGAGCATCACCATTATTCTTGCATGTTTCATATTCTTGAGTCAATCCCTACCTCAAATTATCTTGAGCACACATCGCCAAGAAAAAAGACAAGTACATGGGGGGTTCTCATTTCATTTTGAGTTTTGATCCCTGACATTACTTGGAGAGGACTGTATTTTCCACATCTCTCTCAGCAATCATCTACCTGACCCAACCTTAATCCATCATGCTACTTTACCATTCCAAACTCATCTTCCACTCCGCAAGAAAGAACTAAACACTTTCAAGTCACCTCCAATTTCTAGAGGCAAACGTTTGTTACAGGTGAAGAGAACTTGTCTCTTTCTTCCTTCCTTTAGTACGTGAGAAGTTCAGATATCCAGCTCAAATCAAATAGTTACATGAGAGAATTTACTCCTCTTAGTAGAAAGGCAGATTAACAGCAAGTGTTTGAGGAGCTGGAACCATCCAATGAGCATGAAACATAAGAAGAACTGTGATCAGATATCAGAAGCAGGCAATGCTGGACATGAGCAAAGAAAGATAATTTCTGCATATCACATTTTCTAGCAAATTAATTTGGCACCATTCCCAGACCATTTTTATCCACTTTCCAGTTTTAATTCAGCAGTCAAACTTTCCTGGAACAGCCCACTGCAGAAAGCCAAGTTTTGTGACTATTAAGAGAGAGATTTTAAATCTGACAAATACTCATTCTTCTTGCAGTCTTTGGTATGAAGTTTATGTGAACACTTAACCACACTGAGCAGAGCTGGTTAATGGTAAATAGATATACTCACAAAGAGCTTTGAGAAACAAAGATATTTTAAAAGACTCTCTTAATTGCTTTTAGTAAAACTGCAGGAAAACAGCTGCCCACCAACCTTTCCACAACAGAAAAAAAAATAGCACAACGGAGGGAACAACTTGGGCACAAGTCACACCATCATTTGCCACTTTCTGAGACACAGGTCTTCTAATATGAAATTATCACAAATTCTGTTTTAATTTATTTTCACTGACTTTGATAATCTATCTTCACCTTGAGGAGTCCTAGAAGAGGCCTCCACAACATATAGCCACAGACAACACAGAACTTCCAAAGCCATTGGCCTGACATACCAGCAACCTGGAATGACTCTTGGCCACCTGGAGACAGTCATACAGAAGAGCCCCAGCTCCTACATGGTCAGAAAGCAAACCTCTGCCACTGACATGTTCCACATCCATCTGCCAACGACACATCCAAATATCTCTCAGAACTTGGGAAAACGAACAAGTTGCAAGGCACACTGGGCATTAAGAGAATGGGCAGAAGACATGGAAAATATGGTGAATAAGTGAGGTGGAAGGTGAAAGGAGCAGGGACCATTGCATTGTGTGGGGAACTGGGGATTTTATGTTAGAGTAGGTGTTGATGGAGTGAAGATTTGAGCATCACACACATACACTCATATCAGATATCCCAGCTACCGACATAAACAGAACTGAGCAAAACAGAACATCATCTGGCTTTATTTTAAACTGCCCCTATAAAAGGTATCAAAAAACTGTCTCTGTCTCTCAGTCTAGAGTCTCCATCTTGTATTTCACAGAGCTTAACCAAAGAGTTCTCTATAAACAGCAGCAAGTTTCACACTTTTTCATGTGGCTTTTACTTCAGATATGGGTAGTCCTGGCTAGATCCATGCAGTTATGGCACCAGCAACCTGAAGACCTCAAATCCCTAAACTAAGATCAATAAAGTCCGTGAGTCACAGTCTCAGGGGGAATCAGAGTTAGTTGGCATGCACCCAGAGGAGGTCAATTGGAGCATGGGAGACTATTTCTAAATAACCCATAGCTTTGCCACCAGGAAAAATAAATAGAACTATGTATCTTGTTTCCACATCTTAGCTGGCTAAATAAATAGCTCTCACAGTGCACTCTCCAGGGCAGATTCTTAAAGTGACCTTGGCCTTCTGCTGCCCAGGACAGGAGAATGCGGGTGCACCCACCAGAGAAGTGGTGCATTTTCAATGCTGCATTCCTGGCAGCTGATCAAAGAACAGGCATAACCTCAGCCCCCACAGTTGCCTTCTGTTGCTTCCCAGTGGGAAGGCAAATCATGGTGGCACATAGCTCTGAAGTGGAGAGAAGGCATCAAGCGCAAATATAAAAGGAGGATCAGAGAGAGGATATTGGAGTATTCCTCCGTAAGTTGTTTACAGACTAATGTTCTTTTCAAGTTCTGTACTTATAGCCATAAAGAAGCAGTTTGGGGTTTTTGTTTTGTGATCACCTAACTAACACCAAAGTAACCCACTCCCAATTTCAGGATAGCCACAGCAACCTTAGGAAGAGCTACACCAGCATCATACGGCCAGGAGCACATGCCAAACCAGACAAAGCACACACACAATCACTTTTAACTCTTTCTCCCCATCTCAGAAAACCCACCTTTACACTTCTCCCCCAATCACCCTACACATTTTCAGCAAGAGAAGCTCAAAAAGATAGAAAGACATTTTCACATGTACCCACCTCCATTTGCTGATGAACTGTGAAGATGCCTGGGATTTTCAGGCCATAGCTGTCCCAGACATTTGCTAATGTTGGGAAAGAAGAGCTGTAATCAACCCTACAGTTCGGATTTCTGGTCTCAGAGCCTACAGTCCTGTTAACATCTCCTGAAGCTGCTTGTCCCCAGTGAGAGCAGTTTCCAAAAGGACTGCAAGCTAACAGACTCACCACTGAATAATAACAAACTAATGCCTTTAAATATGTTGCAAACGTGTTTTTAACCCAAAGCAGGTTTGTGTGCTGCTTCTGATGTAAAGCAGACTGTCTCCCTTGAGCCATTGACCTTCTCAGCTGTTCCTAGTTAGTCCTAAATGAAACAAGCAGCTTTAAGCCTTAGGCAGGCCAGCTGAGTGGCTACCAGGCTTCAGCTGATTTATGGTTCTTGCTTGTTAAACCAAGCGTAGGTGAGAGTCAAGTCACCTTCTTCTGTGAGCTAGATCTCAGGAAAACCTTTATCCTTCATTTTTACACTCATCCAAAGAAGTTTTAAGAATAGCACATATGTTTTAGGCAAAGAAAGAAATTAGGAACATTACCTAGCAATGAGGAAGCTCATGTGAGCAACAACTGATGAATAAGATACCTTTTTTTTTCAAAGGGAAAATAAATCCAATCTTTTCAGCAATAAATAAAACGGCTTATTAGCAATAAAACTAGAATTTTATTGAGAGGAATTCTAAGTGTAGATTTTCTCGTGTGTGTTTGTGTCCCAAATGGACAAAAAAGATCCACAGAGGAGTTCAGAACTATTCTTGTACATCAGATAAAAGGCAGGAAACCCCAAATATTATACACTGACAATCTACAATCATCAAAATCAAAAGCAGTGGGTTTTTCTGAAGTCTGTTTCTTTCCCTTGCTGTTTAGAAGTGAGTATTCTAGGCCACTTTGCAGCCTACATTACAACAACCCTCAGCAGCACTAGCTGCATCTCCAAATAAATCTCAGTAAAAAGCCAGCTTAGAAATTCATGACAAATACCAAGTTTTCCACTTCCCTCAGAGGAAACAGTGAAGGGAAAAAGCAGCTTTGCACAAAATCCATATAAAAAGCCTTTATGCAGCCAGCCCCATTGTTTAAGGAAGAACTTATTCAGGCCCAAGTCCCATTACACACAGATCCTGATCTATGAGGCTATCGCAGAAGCAGAACTAACACTAGTCTAATCATAGCTAACACTTCCATAGGAAGGAAACCAGGGAACTGAGTGGAATTTGCTTACTTAGTTAAGCATAGGCATGGTCCCATCTATCATTTTTGGTTGCCTCAGAAGTCAAACCCACCTTTGGGTCTAACTCATCACGGACACCCCTGTCATACATAAAGCAGTTCTCCAGGTTTTCTAAATCTTAGAGTTATAGCATGAGGCCAGAGGGGAATCTTGGAGGGTGCTCAGATATCCTGAAACTGGCAGGTTCTGTGTTGCTTAAGCAAGTGTGATTGTGTGGGCACAGCTCATAGTAGTAAACTCGTCCTCCTGTTTGTAATGAGCAAGCCACAGAAACATGCTATGCCCTTCTGTGGATGCTTTCCACATTACAAAGTTTGCCTTCAAAGGCATCTGAGGAAGTGGTCGGAGCGGACAACTTGGAGACTAAAGTTCAGCATTAAGACGGAGATACAAAATGGACTTGCTGTCTTCAGGAAGAAACAATTTGAAATATTTGGACTGGGCTTAAAAACAGGCCCAGATTAATATCAGTAAGAACTGTCATACTGCAAAAATATCATGATGACTTAGTCACAACTGTCTGCACAAGGAGGATGAGACACCAGTGCCACGATTCCACCCTACTTGCGCCTGGGCCTGTGGTGGCAGAAGGTTCTTGCTAAAGCGGTTTGTCTGCTGCCAGCAGATGCTTCTCAAAACCCAGTCCTGGCTGGGAAATAAAGAACAATACCTTACAATCAAATTGCCATCACTGTATAAGGTATACTACAAATAAATGGCCACCAGCATGAATCATATGATGAATCACGGCATTAACGCGTCCTTCAGGGATCTATTTCTGCCTCTTAAAAACCCTGCAGATTTAAAGTGAGTGGAAATCGTGCATCCACTTCTGATTTCTTTGTCTCTTCAGGTGGAACCAAAGTTTTATTTCTTGCTGTCCTGGAAAGACGAGTTCCCTTGGGGCTCCTGCCTACCTGACTGTCCTGATGTGTCTCTTGCTGTAGGGGGTGATGACTTTGAAAAGCAGCTCCATGGCTCCGTTGATGCCAAGTGTAGTTCCTGTGGTAACTAAGACAATAAAAGAGAAAAGCAGTTAGGTCTGAAGCAGGCAGCCTGCCACACTGTGTTTGGAGGTGATGCAAGGTAGGCAGTAGCTGCCCCTGGGGCCATAGGCAGATTTCTCTGGGCTCCCAAACGGACTTCGCAGGTCATTTTACAAAGAAACTGAAGCCCAAAGCTGTCTGTGGACTCCATGAGCCAAGATGAGACACAAAACAGGTCCCGCAGCTCTTCCCTGAGCTCCTCAAAGCCCTTTTTCCTGTAAATATTATATGTCCAGAGGTACAAATCACAGTTAAATAGGGTCACCTCCCAGCAAAGTGACAGGGCTCAAATTCATCCCACATTTCCCACACGCAACTCCACAAAGACAATTTATTTCATAGGGGCATGGAGGGCAGAGTTTTCTTTCTGTGCTATTATTCTGCAGTATGGAAGTGGTTTTGCAGGGCAGGGGCGTTCCTGAATGCAGCTTAATTTCAGCTAGGCCAATTTTACCTTTAATCCCTCACTTGTTAACACACTAGGAACTTTTATAGACAGATTGTGCAATCGATTCCAAAAATGCCTGATGCATCAACAAGGTGTTTAGTCAGATGTTCCCCCCTATGAGACAGGATCTCCATGTAAAGAAGGAACAGAGAGAGCCCTGAAATACTAAATGCAATCAAACAAGGTGAAGGGGTCAGTAATCAACAGCAGTCAAAGGGAGACCTGGCTGTCTACTCACTGCTAGGTTTTGCCTGTTTGGTAAATATCTCCCAGTGGTCATCAAAGAACTGACAGAGGGCCCATCATCTCCTGCAGTCCTACCATGTCCCTGCCAAGATGTCCTGTGATGGGAAGCTTTGCAAGGTTTGCCAACTACTTCCACACTAGCTGGTAATTCATTAGAGACAGGGTGGTGGACAAGCCTGCTTGAACTCGTCCTGCCCTATAGCAGTACATGGGCTGACACAGACCACTGGTGGCAGAGATTGTGAGGGGAGCAACACAGAGCAAAGAACCAGCGCATGAGATTGAGACAATGGCTCATCTTTTCTGCTTTCATACCTTAGCACTCTCAAAGCTTTATATGCTTCTGGGTTTTCTTCAGTTCCACTCCATAAAAATAATTTCTAAGGTTGGGAACATGGAATGTCCTGGTGGTGCTTTCATCCAGATGGACTGCCCCCCATGTCAACCACAGCTAGGCAAGTAGCGATTGTACTGTGTCTGTCCACCCACTTTTCACCTGCATGCAATGCTCAACCTGAAGCTACTTCCTCAGTAATAGTTTGGTACCACATCCACACAGATATTTACCTAACCTCCCCTGCAGCTTCCAAGCTGGGCCACAGAGCACATGAAGTCAAAGTCACTCATGGAAGGGGGAAGCACACCTGGAGAGTGCTGCAGATACCTGGGGAGTAACAGATGCTCCAGTAAAGGAGCAGAGGTGGGGGTCTGGGGTCTCACATCAACAGAGAGGAGTCCAGGCTGCAGTTTGCATCCTAAAACCTCTGCAAGACCTGATTGGGATGCAGGTGCACTGGAGCAGGGAGCAGGAGAGTACGTAGATCATCATTTTGGGTGGGAGGCAGCACAGAGTCACTACACAGATGTGAAACCCAAATAAAGGCACGTTTCATATTCTGCCCCTGCCTGCATTTTCAGTCACACTCAGACATTCAAATACAGCTTATCGCAGTGAGGGGTTGAATGTTAAGGCTTGGCTGCTTGCCTGAGAAAGCCCATTGCATGAAGCTAGCTCCTGTACAGATAGAAGGGACCTGCAAGGCTAGGAGCCATGAGTGCTAAATCTTAGGATGTGTGTAGCAGACTGGAGACAGGATGGTCAGGAGGAATTATCTGCTGGGTGAGGGATGTGGGGAAGGAGCAAAGGGAAATTTGTGCTGACAAATTCAGTGTTCTATAGCAGAGAAAGCCTGTATGAATCTGTAATATGCCTGTGAGAGAATACTGAAAATCCCATTTAATATGAGGGCAATATAAGCAACAAAAGCTGGGAGAATGGGGGGGGTGGGGGTGGGAGTGGTGAGGGTGATGCTAGACAATACCAGGATCTAATATGTACATCCTGAGAGACCCTGAATAAGCAACTGATTTCTCTCCCTCTCTTTCTCCTTCACTATTTACCTTTCTTGTGGAGCTGCTCTGAGGATCAATGCATTCAACAACAGTGCTATTATGATAATGGGAACCACATAGAGATGTGAGGTACCCAAGTCTCAGAGCAAAGGAGTTGACTGTCTGTATTCTAGAATAGGACATCATTGCTATGAATATTTTTCACTACAGCACTTTTATTTTCCACAGATGAAATACACTTTAAAGGCTGAAAACCCCTCTTTGGGGAGCACCTCTTTCTATGGCTGTATTTCAACGGTGCACGGAGGCACTAACCTTAATCAGGAGTGATGTTCCTTTGCTCTGAAATGACAGAAATATCTCTGGTGGATGTCACACAGGGGAAAACAGGGAAATCCAGCTACTCACCATTAGAAGCACAAACCCGCAGGACCCAGAGGCAGTGGGTGAGGTGCAGGTGGTGGCCCAGGTTTCTTCTTGCCAAGCTCAGTATGGTATCAGTTGCTTCTGCCTTCTGCGCTTTCAGCCCAAACTTCCTATCTGTGAAAAGCAAGTAAGAATCAAACTATAATAAAGCTCAGGTCTCTGCACCAGTGCCAATAAACCTATTTGCACCCAGTCTTATAATAAAAGCATTCAAATGTATCAATGAGTTAGGTCAGCATTATTCTCACTGGAAACGGGAAAACACGGGATTTACAGTCACCATATCAAATAGTATGACCATAGAATGGTCTAGGCTGGACCTAGACCTCATAGAGGTGTTCATGATATGGGGGGCAGACATTTCTGACTTTGACAACAACTCTGGTGTAGATGGACCATCACCTACAACATTCGTTATCTGACCTTCTACATCTGGAGCCTCATACCTATTATATAGATGCACATGGGAAGGTAAGGAAGGCAATGAGGATGTTTACCTGCTGCTCTGAGCCTTAGGCTTGCCTCCATTCCCTCCTTTCCTTTAAGCTACAGCCTTCTGCCTGTCAGGTAAGACACATCTCTATGCATGTGCACTCCCTCCCTGCCTTGTTGCAGGATCTCAAGTGGCACACCCCAAAGATAAAATCCCACCTGTCTGTCAAGCACATCCCAGTGCTTATTGTTGCTGGGGCTGCATTATTGCTGTTAGCTTTTTGTCCCCCACCCACGCAGTCCCCCATCACTCAGCAGCACCTCGTTGTCCAACCCTGGCCAGCAGCCGCAGCAGGGGCAGAAGGATGCTGTGGTCCAGCGGTTCGGTCCGGGCAGTGGTGGTGAGAGCCTGCAGCAGTGCCTCGCTGCCCCCCTTGCTGATCACATACTGAATCCTCCGCCCAGTGCCTGTGGAAAAGAGGAGAAACCCTACTTAAAGCATCCCTTCCCTGAGCCGCAGTGATCATAAACCCTCACCCCACATGAAGCACACAAAGCTCCCATGGTGTTTTATTGCTATAAACCCAAGGACATTTGTGGGATTGACCATGTATCTCAGGTGCTTCTGGCCTGGGATGTGGCTATTGGCTGCATGGGAAAACTGTGTCTGCTGCCTCTTGCTCTGGCAGCTGGTATCTTTACAAACCCATGTCCTGCTGAAGTTTTCCATTGTGCACTGAAATGCAGCAGAGGGGAATAAGCAGGGATACCAACAGGTTTCAAAGGAGCAGGAAGCTCAGTGATCTTTCCTTAGATGCTGGAAATCAAACAAGCAAAGGTCTAAAACTGCTACAGTCTTCTGCCAAATAAAAAGGAATCACTGGGAAACTCTGGAGACAGCTTTTAAACAGATCTAGGTCTCCAAAGGAACCACACGCTAATCCTGTGAGCCCTATATGTCCACATTGATCCATGGACAACTTCAGGTTGGAGGAAGCCGTGTGTTCAGCTCCTGGAAGGGGAGGCAGTACCTTCTGTCTTCCATAGAGTCAATCCTTCCAGCAAGCTGAGGAACAGCACTGCAGGGATTCTAAAGAGGGGCCCAACTGGATGGCCCATGTCTGTGCCAGAGGCTCCAACACTCGCAAGGGAGCCCCTGCAACCTAACATCTTGATTGGGTTGACAGTTGTTTAACAAAAGATATTTCTGAGGTGGAGGAGGAAGAAATGTGCCAATTCACTTATTCTTTCATGTGTCTGGGGTGCATGCAGCAACATGCCATCCCTGCATCCCCAGGCGGAGGTGCGCTGTTGGGAGATGCTGAACTTTGTTAGTGTCCCTGTGCTATGGGAAGCCAGGCTTCGCTCCCTGTCTCACAGCTCTTTCTCCAGTAGCACTGGTGAACGTTTCCAGCAGTTGACTGCCAGGGTTTATAAATACTTTGGAACTCATGGGCATCTTTTAAACTAAAAGAGAAACGAAAAAAAGGAGGCTTTCTCTGGGTCTTTCTTTCCTCTTTAACTTACTGAAAAAGCTCAGTTTTCCAAACACAGCAGTAAGGACTGCTGACCTCTAGATACAATTCATGTTTTGTTCACATTGCAAGCCCCAAGCCAAGTTTATGCAGGAAAGACTTTCCTGATCTATTTGAGGACCCCCCTGTCTGTCCCTAGCCTGCAGGCATCACCCCACAGATTTGCTTCCTTACCCAGAGACAGCAAGTCAGTGAGGACACTGAGGATATTCAGGATGACATCCTTGTCACCAGAGCTCTGAAATGGAAACACACCAAATTTAGGGATCAGTTCAGAACAGTGAATTTCATGCAATGCCGGGCTGTGGTGCATCATGCAGTGCAGAGGCACTGAGATCCTTGCTTGGATACTGAGTACTTTTTGTGCCATCTGGCCAGTGAGTATGTGCAACCATATTGATAACACATTTTAAAAGCCTCTGACAGACATACTGATCATACTACACAATATTTAATACACAGTAGCATTTCCAGAGGATTTACATCCAAATTCTAAATTACATCTCTCTGGTTTTCGTTTGGTCTGGCTATCTCAAAGTTAAGGATATTCTGTATCACATCGATGTTAAATGTGGGGTGGATTTCCATGACATTCCCTTAGTCCCTTCAGGATTCCCTTAGAACTGGCAGTTGAAGAATAATATCTTTAAATTATATTGATCTCACTTTATCTCCCACTAAATGATTACAATAGGATAATATCTTACACATCTGTGGCTCCTATGACTGTTGAAGAGCTTCCGAAACTCAACGCACTTTGCATTCTGGATATATGGGATCATTTTACCATCTAGACTGATTCAATCATTCTCTGAGATACTTAACATTATGCAACCAAATATTTAAGGCAAGGAATTGAGAAGTAACACCTAGCAAAAAGAAACTAGAGAGAATATAGGGAAAATTTATTCAATTACTATTAATGTATATGGATTTTTTTGCAGTGGATCTCTGCTGAAGTCACAGCACAAACCCCATATCTCTACAAACCAGAATTCCCATCATACTGGTTTTGGTCAGTTATCAGTTTTAACAAACTTTAACTGCTCAATACACATTTCATGCTGGCATAAATGAGCAATGGGGACAAAAGTATCAGCAAGGGAGTGAGATAAAAGAACAGCAAGTGATCAGTGGAAGGGGAAAGAAGAAAGAGGAGTCAGGTGGGGATGAGAGATTGGAGCAAACAGGAAGAGATTCACTTCTGAAATGGGGACTCAGTGGAGGAAGGTCTGTGAGCACCTCTGCCTTTCTAAAGACTTACCTCACGTTTGTTGTTAGATAAAATCCACAGGGAAAGTGCAAGTCTCATTCCCATCTCAGAGCTTGCCCATGCCCAGAGTGAGAACCTGCTGTTTCTATTCGTTACTACATTAACCCAACAATCAGAGATGTCTGCACTGAACATGAAAGTTCAGCCCTTTTATGAACCGTGTTGAAATCAAAAGGCTTGGTATGATAGGATTGCTGCTTCCGTCAGAGCCAAGACAAACAGAATATGTGGCTTTAATGAAATCCGGTAACTCTCAGTTCACCAAGTTATTGCTACCCTCACCTTAGAGAAGGAGTGTAAATTCATGTTAGTGGCTCAAGGGACCACACAGAGAGGAAAGGCTGCAGCAGGATCAGAGCAGTTCTGAATACCATTACTTCTAGGTAACATAGAAAGTTTTAGTCATATTTTAATCTTGATAATTCATGTCTTTATTAATTAGTCCACAGTGCTGAGCTGTCTCAAGTCTCCCAAGGCAAACACAGAGCAATCAGAGCTCTCTTTCCAAGAGTTTCTTGGCATTTTTTAGCATAGGGACTTAACAGTCAGGGGCAGGCTGTCAGGAGTGATGAGTATCCACCAAATTTACTGACTCCAGGAACAGTTACTGTTCTCAGCACCTTTTTAAATATCAGGGTTGCCTAAATCAGACTGTGTTCTGGTTTTATCTTGCTGCCTCTCAGTATCCCTTTCCTCTGTAGGTGGATGGATTACACATTAAGGTTTCAGTAATGAAGTCTTCATTGATTTATGCTCCTATTACACTGGGTTGTTTATTTTAACTGATTGGATTGTGGGTTTCCTAAGCCATTAACACAAATAGTGATGACATAAGATATCCTCTGACTTTCCATGCGCTTTATCCAGGGACTTAAACGAACAAAGAACTTGAGGGGACATGAAAGATCAGCCTTTAAAATGTGCAAATTAGAGCTGAGTGAGATTGTCAAATATTTTACCTGAGTATTTACTCTTCATATTTTAACCCTAATGCTCTGACTGTGTTGGTTATCCCATCATTCCCCTTCCTCCAGAGCACTAGAGAGGGAATTGGATGACTTGTGTTTTCTCTGAAACAGTGGATAAGCCCCTAGTCCCATTACAAATTCAAACATATTTCCCACTTTGATGGCACCACTGAATAATAGAGAACACTGCAGAAGAACACAGCTTCAATTTATAACAGCGAGGCAACACAGGATAAACATTCCTGTTGTCCCACAAGATGGCAACTTGCCTGTTGAAAAGGAACAGCTCAGATTTTGACTAATTAGGTTGAGCTTTTCAAAGTCATCAAAGATGTTTGGACATTGAAATCCATTCGAATCAATTGTTTAAATTAATACTGATACCAAACTGTCTGTGGATGAATTGCCAACAAATTCATTCATGGAAAATATTCACTAGATCTTTTTGAAGAGTAAGTACAAATGATAAAATCACAACTTGTGCCTGATCTAAAAAAGATGAATAATTTCTTTAATGCAAATTGCTTACCCAGCTCTGGCTAAAACAAACACACGAGTTATTTTTATTGAAAGATACGTTTGATTGTTCATGAACAAACCACAAGCAAAGAAAGGAGTAAAATTCCTCTTACTAAACATTATCCATTCCTGCCAGCACTTCTAAATCTTAGATACAACATCTATACGTGCACAGATTAATGAAGATGCATTCGTGGCATGTGGGTGGAATAAGAGCAGAGAAAAGTTCCCAGAGGCTCAAGTTAGATTACAAAATCACCAACCTCCTGCAGGATTTCATTAAATGGATTTAAAGTTAGAGCCAAATTGTTACCTCTTAACAGCCTGTAGCTGCCTTTCATGCTGCCTTTCCGGCCTGTAGATGGACAAAGGCTAAAGTAGCAAGAATCATCACTTAAAATACTAGGCATGACTGTATTTTTGGCTAGAACGTCTCATCTTAGCCTTGCTTCAGCAAAGCCTGCTGCTTTCTCGCCCAGCTGAGAGTATCACAGGGCTGAGTTCAGATGCATTTAATCACCTCCCAGTTGATAGCTACTTTCTGAGCTTTTTTCTGGGAATTAATCCCTAAAACACCAGGGCTTTGGATAGCTTGGCTGAAGCTCCTCATAGATAAACAGCAGAAGGATGGGGAAAGCCAAGAATGAAAAAATACCCCAGGGCATAGTCACTGATGTTACAGGCAGCAAGCGATTAGTTCGTGACATTGGGTTTGGAGGACAACAGCTTGATCCCGAGATCCTTCTGACTGGCAGCTCAGGTTTTTACAGACCCATGATCAAACAGGGAAGGAGTTCCCGTCTCCTTGCCCTGCTCCTGGGAACACAGCAGGACAAGCTGTTATTTACTCAAGATCATAAAATTGCAACTAAGCCACAGGAACAGGTAATTTTGTTTTGTCAGGGAAGTCTCCTGGGATTAGAAGACCCAATAGGTGGGATTTTTCCTATCCTACCTGAAGGACAGCAGCTACCAGTTAGCACTGGCTTAAAACAAAGACTTCCTATAAACTCAGTCTTTTGTGTAGCTCTTGAGTTTCCATGTCTTCTGGCCAAAGGAAAGTATTTCTCCGAATGAGACAGGCAAACTACTGAGAGCATTTACTGTGATTCTATGCATTAGTGCTGAAAGAAAGGATACCCAGAAAGAGATAAACCAACATTGTTTGAAAAAGAAAATAAAATTGTGCAGTGTGATATTTACTAATAAATATTTTATCTGGGGAAAGACATACAATGTATTGGAATTGTTATTCCAATCACAAAAGTAATAAATGCAAAATTAAAGAAGTCACTCCTGCAACACAATGCATAACATGATTTCTACCAATATTCCTATTAAATTAATTCTTGAGTATACTCTCACAAAGCTGTGTGACTGTTTAGGGAAAAAAGCCCAAACAAACACAGAAGAGCCTGCTTTTAAAAGCAAGTTATTGCTGCACTAACAAGCTTCCAGATCTGTTGTGGTTTTTTTTGAGGAAGAGGATGTCCATTTCCAGGATTGGTTTGTTTGTTTTTAAATAGCCTGTTTCTAAATAGCTACATAGGATTTGATGTGTACAAAATACATCCTTCTTTCTTCTCTTAGCCTTCATAAATTTGCTCACACAAATAGAAGCAGTCAGAAAACTCTGTTTAATGAGACTTGCATCTGCAAGTAAAATTTCTCACTCTCTGCACTCAAAGCCTGTTGAAGAGAAATCCAGGTGGAGAATTAATACCAGCTAAAATCAAGACTAGGTTACGGGCCAAACAGAATTAGTCCTCACTCTCTCATGAGACCTCTAGAAGCTATTGGGCTGCTAATAACTGTATTAATACTTAAATCAGAGACTCCCCTCCCGATGTTCTGCTGCCAGTGAGGCAGAGGTGCATACCAGACCCAAATGCTGGGCACAACCGCTCACCACTGGCGTTATGGATTTGCCAGCTGGATATCTTCATCCCACAGCTGACTATCCAGCCTTACAATAACTGTGAAGCCAGGTTTAGTGCCTTATGTTCTGTGACTTGTCAGAGTAAATTGCTTTTTCTAATTCAAGTGGAGCTAAAAATTCACACTTAAACAAGAGAGCAAAATACCCCAGAGAGTTTCTTGTCTGTGTGCTCCTATCCTCAGCCTCAATATTCAGCCAGCTAACCGTGATTTCTTCTGGTTGGGAGGTTATTATCTATGGTGCTGGATACACGGAGGTTTAGAACAAAGGTAAAATCACTACTTCTGAGGGGAAAAATGTGGTTTCAGGGTCTATGAAATATCACTAAGCAACCTCGGAATAAGGGAGTATTTAAAATAAAATGATTACAGCTGAGTTTTGTTATCACTGAAACACTCTGTTGCAATACTTCCATCATCCAGTTTTAGAAGGATCCCAAGAAGTTACAGTCCCGTTGCCCCTGTCCCCAAAACACCCATCCAAATGTCCTCAACACCACCACAGACATTTCCATCCTCTGTGGCAAACGGTAAGTGCAT